CATTAAGTAGAGCTTGGATGTGAAATGTTTGATAACATTTTTAAGGAATTCTTCGTTAAAAAAGTCCAACCCGCTCGCGATTCGAACCACGGTTTTGGGGCTTAGCAATCGCGAGCTTACAAACTGAGCTACAATGGCCCTATGGTAATAACAAAGAGGATCCTAATTCTTCTTTGGTAATAGTCCAAGCATTCTGTGACGGCCGAATAATAAATTTGCAGAAATTATTACATACCTGGAAAAAAATATGACCGTATTGGAAATTAAATTTTAAATTGAGTTTCTTCTTTAAACTCGATCCAAAATGGCGAACATGGCCAAAAAAATTCACATATTTGCAAACAACTGAGAAAGTATAGATCGAAAAATTTTAAATGAGAAAGTCGTAGGTTTTAAAAAGATCTATCGGCTGACTTTTTACACATATCGATAGCTTTGTTACTTTTCGAGATATATCGAAAAAAATGTTCCCATACTTGCTATTTACTGTAAGTATAGAAGCCGGCAAGCCAGAAAACTACATTTTTGAAAAATTTTAAAATATTTATTATTTTTCGATATATCGATTTCTTGAAAAAAAAGGCGCTCTCGAAAATTGGCTAGATCTTCTTAGATTATGGCCCCACAGTAACGATTTTCGGTCTATTTTCTTCGTAGAGTTCTATTACCATGCTATTAAAAAATTTTGACGATTTTATTAATTTTAAGGATTATAAAATGATCATTCAATATTTTTCAAGTAACTATTTCAATTTTTTCTTTATGACAACTTTTATAGAAAGAAATTGTTAACAGAACATGAAACTCAATTTAAAATTTAATTTCCTATAGGTCATATTTTTTTTCCAGTTAACAATTTCTGTAAGCACTTCTCTACAATGTTTGGACTATAAATGGAATTTGTACGGGCTATTTAAAAAAATTGAGTCGCCTCGCGTGTAAAGAGAAATTTTAAAATGTTCAAATTAAGTTTTCTCCGTCTGAAACATCAGAGGTAAAATAACAATCCTCCGTGACCGGATCGACCGGAAAAACGCTTCAAAAGACAAATTTTATTTTGACGTTTTCGTTGACGTACCTAACTCTCTCCCACTCTCACAGGAAATTGTCGATTTTTGGTGAGGGAGCTTTTGGAAATAGAAAATTAGCTAAGAAAAAAATACCACTTCGCTTCGCGGCCGAGTGTGGGAGCGAGAGTAAAAGAGGACATACGAGTAACTCGTATGCGCAAAATCTTCTGATTAGCAGTCCACAATATCCCGGTTCGCCGTACTAGTTCTCGGTTGCAGTAACTGAGTTATTTCGGCATCCTCTGTCAAGAAGGTTTTGGGTACCTACATCCTATTATAGTGAAAGAGAGTCAAGTAAGAGATTTTTTAAATCTTATCACAGAAATTCGAAGATGTGAAGAAACATTTTTTGGGCATTATCGAATGTCCATAAAGTCTTTTGGTAACCGGTCCGGTTTCACAGATCCCGTCAAAACGGACAGTGTGGTGCAAAGCGTCGCAAAGTGACATAAGCATGTCGCAAAAAGTGTTCTTGCATAGTCCGACAATTGCTGTCAGAACTTGCACAATGGGGTCATTCTGCAAATTTTCAAAAACGTTCTTATACGTTTGTATACACAAAGTATTGCTCATGATTAGACTATCCTAAAAATTTTAACTCAATCCGTTGAGCGGTTTTCAAACTATATGATTTTTAAAATGCGAATATTTGTCTCAGCCGTGGCAATGCAATGACGTCACCGCATGGGACGGTCAGCCGGCTTGGCGCTACTTCCAGATGAGTTTCTGCATCTATAGAATGTTTTAGCGTTTGTGCATATTAAATTTTAAAAATGGAAGCAAATTTCGTAAAAGCAGATTCTCCTAATTTGCCAGAAGTAGGTTTGTTAATGGTTATGGATTTTTTCAATAAAAGCCACGACTTTATCAGTGCTGAGATGAGAGGAGTGAAAATGCAAAAGTTACGTTTCAATAACGTGTAAAGCTTCTTTAAAGTACGTTTGCAGCGAAAGTTTTAATATTTTTGTACAATAAGAATAGTAAATAAGAATGAGGATTTTGCGTTTGATTAAAATAACAACAATGGAAAACACAAGTGTATAGTGTTTCTAGAGGATACGAACGCATTTATTTACATATCTAAATTACGCAGGGTAGTTTTGTTGCTTTCAAAATAAGTCATTTATCAAATAAAAGGTATTAAAAAAA